TCGAGCCGGATTCGAACCAGCGACCTAAGGATATCATTCACGCTTCTACAGTCCTCCGCTCTACCAACTGAGCTATCGAAGGAACGCGTATGTAGCCACCATATCAAAGGGTAGACATTATTTCATACCACATCGATAAAAATAAAGTGGAATTTACTAGATTCGATGATAGTTTTCTTTTCCAAAGGTAACAAGTAGACGGATTTCAAGCAATACCAAAAAAACAAACAAACAAACAAACAAACAAACAAACAAAAAACAAATAAAAAATAGTTATTAGCGGTTTGCTGAAAACGCTCTACCAACTGAGCTATCGAAGAAACGCCCGTGTAGATGAGATCTCAAAGCGTAGTCACTACCTCCTCTCTCTTGTCTCTAGTATTTCGGCTTCTAGTCTTTTTATACATACTGCATCATCCGAAGATCGTACCAATCGCATAAGCTTTAGGTGGCTCAAAAACGTTTTCTGCTTTTTGAGACTTATAGAACTAGGTGCGATTTTTCAGGCTTGAAACTGCACTGTTTTGAATGGCTGTGTTAATTTTTTTAAAGGAAATCTTGGCTGAAAAGCAGTTCAAGTTCCAAAGTATACCTAACGGTTTCCTTTAACTAATCTCGGGGTGTCAAGTTGATATCTCTGTAAGTGGTTCGAATACGAAGTGTTGGGCTTTCAGTTTAAATCACCTGGGCGTCCCCATGTTTACTTTATGATAATTTATGACGTCAGTGCGCGGTAAGAGTTCTCAATATGGAGTCTACAGAAGAAGATTTCTCGTTGGAACTGTACATATTCATCTGGAACGTGAATTATAGAGGATTAGAAGCACTTTCATATCTTAAGGTTCACCCAATGCAGTGTTTTATGAACGTCTAATCGCGCAATGACGTCACAATTTCCCATCAAACTGCAAAAATAAACATGGCGGCGTGCGGGAAATTTAAAATCTTAAAATAGCTGAGAGGAAACGCTCAGCATTCAAAACAGACGAAGCTAAGAATTATCGACTTCAAATCAGAGAAACAATTTAACAACAAGCATCAATTTGTGATTTTGAATAAAATTGTTTTTGACCAAGATTCCTTTGAAGGTAACTCTCCACTGTACCTTTCATCGTGTTTAAGTCATAAATTAAGGTTGCACTGTTCTGTTGCATAGCAACAATCTTCACCCTCTTTTTACCATCGATTGCACCTATCTTAAAAACTAAGCCTGTGACCCC